CCAAAAAATGCTGAGTTTGATAAAATTGCTAAGGGATCCTGCTGGCTTCCCTGACAGCTTGGCTGCCTGCCCTGCATTTGGAGTAGCTGCTGGGAGGGAGGTTAGTCCTGGCAGCCAAAGAAATGTGATGCTCAGGGCTCCCAGGGTGATGGCTCTGCTGAGGCTCTGGACAGACCAGGGCACCCTGGTGGCATCTTCAGCCCCATGCCCCCAGCACTCTGCCTTGCAGCTGCCCCTGGTGCTCCGTGGGGTGTCCTCCATGGAATATGTCTGGTTCCAAACACCAAACTAACCTTTTTTTCCTCACACATTTTGCACCCTACCTGCACCCCAGCACCTCTTCCCCTGGGAGGATGGAGAGCACACACCCAGAGTGACAGTGGTGGTGATTTATTCCCTCTCTTGCAAAAGACTAGCTCCTCTGGCCAGCAATAAGAAACAACTGGAGGTGGGTGTTTGCCTTGTAGAGCCAACCCAGGTAAGTAGAAAGCTCCAGCTGCTTTTGCATTCCACTGATGATGGAGAAGCACCTCCAGACTGACCCAGTTTGGCTCCCAGCAGCATCAGCCTGAACTGTGCTCATCTGAGCCCTCACATGCCCTGGTGGGGCCCTCACCCTCTTCCTCACTCAGCTGTGGGCTCTTAGCTGTCATGGGTGCTCCCCATGAAGCCCAGAAAGGGCTCATTTTGCTGATCACTCCTTTTGCTGGTCACCACTTCTTGCTGCAGCTCCCAGTTTTATACCTGGCTGCAGGTGGTCCCTGCTAAAGGACCATGGTGGGATCTGTCTCTGAAAATTTAATGCAGCTTTAAGAAGTCCCTGGAGGTTTTCCTTTCTGATGAGCTTCTTCATCGTGCTGGTAAGCCAAACCTGCTCCTGTCAGCTGGGAGCCAGGAGGTGGTATCCTTAACCTCTGCTGCTGAGAGGAGCCTGTGCCCTACCCTTGGCTGTTCCTGAGTGGTCAGCCATAGGTTTCCTCTGGGACAAGCCCTTGCTGGTGGGAGGTGGAGACAGGACAGCCCTTTTAGTGCTGAGCTGGAAGCTGAAACACAGCCTGCTCCAAAATAATGCTTGGAGCAACTGGGAGTGCTCCAAAGGGAACCTTGAAAGTGATCTTGGAACAATCTGTGATACCTCTGCAACCAGGGCAGAGGGCCTTGGCTCTCCAGGAAGTCCCCTGAGAGCCATCAGGGTCCCTGTGGGGAAGGGATGCAAGCTTCACTGCAACAGGCTTCAAAAAGCCAAATCCCTGTGAGCTGCCCAGCTCCTGCCATGCAGCATGGGAGCAGAGGCCCCTTGCATCCCTCTGGGACACGTCCCCAGCTTGGAGCACTCCCCGGAGGGCAGCACTGCTAGGAGGTGGGCAAATGCCCTCTCAGTGGCATTTTCCCTGCAGTCATTACCAGCGTGTGTATTCTCACTCTGTTTTGGCTTTTGGCAATCACCGTGTTTTGGGCAAGCACTAAACATTAACTTAGATTTGTACTTAATAACTTGGTGGTGTGTTGGAACTCGGTGCAGAGGGAGGGGACACCCTCAATCCCTTCGCCTGGCCTTGCCAAAGGTTTAGGGATGCCAGAGCAGGAGAGTCACTGAGTGCACTCTGTCATTCACTGAGCACACACCTCTGCCTGGCTGATGGCATAGTCAGGTATGCACCAAGTCTTGTTTTCATCCACCAAAAATCTTTGATTTCCACGATGATCATACCTAGGAGGACCTCAGTGATTTGAAAGCAGGGTGAATAACCTTCTCAGCAGAAATCAAAGCCCCGGAGGGGACCGGTATGTACAGGAATGGCATTAACAACTAATCCCCTCTAATCCAAGATGACATCCTTATCACATGAGGGCAGAAAATGTAATTAGACTTATATAGTGCTATCTCCAGAGCACTAAGCAAATATTAACTAATCCATCTTCCCAGTGCTCCTGTGGTGACAGCCCAGTTGCCCTGGATGTGCAGGTGGGGAAACAGAGCATGGGATGCTGCACTAACAGGTCCCTTTCAGGAGAAGGCCTTGCAAACTGTGCATCCAGAAAAAAAGAATTAAAAAAATTAGCAAAGCAGTTTACAGTCACTGGGAGGTCTTTTGGGGACATGGGGCACATCTTCCTGCAAGGCTCCTGTTATCAAGGGGATGGTGAGTTTCTGCTTTTCTGCTGTTTCTCAGCACTTTCAGGGTCCCTCCACAGCCATTACATATCTGCAGGGAGTTAAAACACATGTTCAGTTATGGGCTTCCTCCATTGTTGAAACACATTCGAATTTTATCCAGCCATCCCTTCAGCTCTGTTTGTGTTAGGGTTTGTTTTCTAACCTTATGTCCCAGGTTTCCCCCCTCTCATGGATGCTGCAGAAGGCACCTTTGCCAGGGAGAGCCTCCCCTCCCTCCCCTTGGCTCTCCAAGGTTAACTGGCACCAAGATGGGAAATGCAGCTGATGGTCCCTGCCTGTGTGGGGTGATGCCACTTCCTTGGGACTAAAGCCAGTGTGCAGGCTTTGCACCCTGAAGTGAGCCCTGCCACCCCTGGGTGCCACAGGTACCTGGGAGCTCTGCTCTGCACCAGGCTCTCAAGGGGCTGGTTTTTCCTTTAGAGCCTGATTCCCTGGGAGCTGCAGGACCATTTTCAGCAGCAGGGGATGTGATCCTCTTATCGCTGCTGGTTAGCCTTGGGTGCCCTTACAAAGAGCTGCTTGTGATGGAGCAAGCACTTAAAAACAGCCACCATGTTTGTCAAGGCCTTGGGATAAGATTGTATTTCTTGGGCTGGCAATGCTTTAAAAGCAGTTGGATGCAATTGAGTGTGAAGCACAAATTCCTCGACCAGTCTCTAAAGTCAAAGACACCCACAAAAAGGCCACTGGCATTTGAAGGACAGAAAACTGAATAGGTCCCTCTTTGGTGATGATGTTCCCTTGGCTTGAGGGAACATCCCCCCAGAAGCTCTGTCCCAAAGCAGACTTACCAGAGGGCCTGGGAAGAGCTGTGTTGTGCAGAGAGAGGAGAGAGTCTGTGTCCTTCAGGTGCTGCCCAGCTCTGGGTCTCCTCTCCCTGCTGACAGCTGCTCCCACACCCTTCAGGAACCAGGCAGTGAATGCTGGGTTTTACTTTCCCTTGGGTTATTGGGAGTGAATGAAACAAATAGTGAAGGTTAGGACTCATGGGTTTGCTTGCTTTCTTAATAAGGTTCCAGATTTTCTGGAATAGAAAAGAAGATGCTGTATGCAGAAAATGTCAGCAAACTTTGTCAGGAGGGAGGGAATGCCATCAAGGCAGGAAGATGTGGAAGTGATTAATGGAAAGCTGTTTAGACACTGGTTTCTTTGGAGCTGAGACTATGCTACACCCTCAGTGGTATATATATATATATTCATACCTCACTAGGCTGAGAGCAGAATCCATGCCCAGCCCTTCCTTGGCTTCTTCCCTCCCTGCTCCCTGCACTGTGCTGGCACCACTGCTCCACAGTGGGACTCAGATCCAGGGACTGATCCATCTGAGAAGCAAACTGAAGACCAAAAAAAGGCATTTTTCCCCCTCCTGGAGAAAGAACAACTCCCAGAGGGAGCTGCTTGTCTCCTGGCACTGCTGGTACAGGTGAGGGAAGAGGGACAGTGTGTCTTGCAGGTGGGTAGAAGTGCATGGGGAGGCAGTGCAGCTCTCAGGGCAGGGCTAAGTCACCCCAGAACCAGCTAGGGACACCTCAGCTGCTGAGAAGTGGGTGCCACAGCAGGTTTCTGCCTGCTGAGGACCTTCTGCTGACTCTGTTTAGGGTGGCCAAAAATCTCTATGCTAAGAGGTTGCCTTCCAACCATGACTCAGTTAAAACCCACAAATGTCCAAATGTTAGCATGCTCCAGAGAAGGGAGCAATCTTTGTCCTTTTAGAAAGCTCACCTGACACTTCTAGCTTTATAGTGCTGCCAGTGAACTGCTGGAACATGCATGACTTGGCCACTGTGTCCTCTAAAAGCCATTGAAAATGTTCCCTTTCCTTGCCCGAGGGCCCCTGGCTCCAGAGTGGAAGGGTTTCCTCCCTCTGCTTCTGGAGCTCAGGCTGCCCAGATTAAATCATGTATTGAAAAATTCCATAGCAGCTTCCGACCTCAATGAATAGCATATTCAAGGCCACTGGAAGGCTCTTGCATTTGTGTAGTTCAATGATTTTCAACCATTATTTTTATTTCCAGTAGAGATGGGATTCCCCCAAAAGTCCCATCTCTAGCCAGCTGGCCTGTGAAGTGCAATCCCTTTCCACTGGAGAGGGAATGACACGAGGAGCAGCCTGGGCCCTTGCAGGGTCTCTGGGTCACATGCTGAACCTGCTGCAGCATGAACCCCCATCCAGGAGGAGACAAGGGATTGCACTGCAGCTGCTGGCATCTAAATCCCCACAGGAGAGGGGCTGCAGAGGGAAACTCCTCTGGTCACATTTATCCATGCCCAGCTGTGTTGGGCTGGACCTGGCAGAGAGGCCCCATCAAACAAGGGATGGCCTGCAGCAAAGGACATCCCACAGGCTGAAACAGAGCCTCGACCATCCCAGGGGTGACAGCAGGAGAGGAAGTCACCTGTATTGAAAGCACATTTCTTTTCACTCAAAGGTCACAGTCTGATTGTTCCCAACTCCCTGCTGCTGAGCTGGGATAACACCAGGTGTGCCACCCACAGCCTCTACCAAGAGACATCTCCCCATGTCATCGTGTTCCTCACTGTTTGATTCCTAGATCTGGGCAGTTAGCAGGCTGCTCAAGGAGGCCGTCCCTCCCCTTTTGTAAATGTAATCACAATGTGGCTTTTTTTTTTCTGGAATTCCCTATGGATTCCCAGTCATGCTGTGCACTGGCACCAATGGTTCAGACACTTCTTCAGTGCAGTTTATGTTTGGATTGCTGGATTAAAACCTTGTAAGTAAAAAAAGTAAAACCTTTACTCACTGCTAAGGTTAGGACAGGCCAAACAAGAAACTTTGGAAGAAGAACTTCAGAATAATGCATTTTATGCTTTTGAAGAAAACAAGCACAAGAGGCAGGTATAATGATAAAATCAAACTGCTAGCCATTTCAAATAAATTGAAACTATTGAAAAGCAGCTGTGATGATTGGATATAAATCTGACTGCTTGTCACTACTAAGTAGATTATGTCACTTTAGGTTTATTCCATTTATTTATCATAAAAATAATGGTCCTGTCTCACCATTAATAGTCTCCATGACTGCTACTGCTCACACCAGGTGTTATGAGCTGGACATTGCTGGATGAACTCAGCTTCCCCTTCAGTGTTACCACCTCACTTCTGCTTGTGCCAAGAAAAGACCCTTCCCAAGAAATGTTTATAAATTGTGACCAGGTTTCTTAGCCTTGTTTTGATAAATGAAAGCAGATGGTTTGAAGGATTAATCTGATTCATCTTCAGTGTTTATAGCAATGGGATCATACTGGCACAATCCAGGGAATTCAAGATGCTGTGCTCCCTATACTAAACAAATATTTATAATAACTCAAATGAGGAAGGCAGAGCTACACTGAAACTACTATGACCGTAGCCTATTTCACACTAGTATTTCTATTTTTTTACATCTTCAGTCTATCTACAATAATCTGTCTTAAAGCCCACAAATTTCTTTTACAATGGGCAACATGTATCTATAGCACAAGGCTCTTGATTGAATTATTCTGTGGTAACAGTTGTTTAGCTGATGCCTTATAAACAGATGTGTCAGGAGTGGTTATTCCATTCCCTGCTCAGGGTCAGCTAAGAGCAAATCCACACTGAATTTCAGTGTCAGAGAAACCCTGTCCTGAGATGAACCAGCAAAACTGTTTTATGGACAGAGTAAGGTTGCATTTATATGAACATGTGCAGAGGTTGGGTAGTAGCTTTGTGTCATCCTGGCTCTAGAGAGGGGAATGAAGATGGTTTGTGTGTTAGACTTTTTAATCTCAGTTAATTGATTGCCAATTCATCTGAGGCATTTAATGACTTGGAGAAGTTGATGGGATGTTTGTCTCAGGACATAATTATTTCTGTCATTCCTTCCTCAAGCTGAAACTAAATGTTGGTTAATTGGCACTGATTGATTAAAGTAGAACAATAGAAAAAATTTCCTCTGAAAGTCTGCACTTGTCTTTGCTATGAAATATGGGAGTGCTTCTAGCGTGAGACAAAATCCTACTGGAGGCAGCAGTTTCTGCTCAGTGCAGTGAGCTTTAATTACATCCTTGGTATCTGTTCTCTCTTTAGTCCAGCTGCTGTTGGACAGTCAGACCTAGAGGAGGCAAGAAATGGGTCATTTTTGCCATGCTGTAGCCAGCAGTACTGAACATTGTGCATCTGAACTGCTGCTGACCTCCCCCACCACATCATGGGAAAAGCTGAAGTAATGGCCCCCAGGAGGGCTGTGCAGTGAGGTTAGTTACTGCACTGTGAAAACAAACCCACAAGCCTTCTGTTGCAAGTGCAGGTGCAGCAGTTCTGTGCTTTGGTCACTGGGATTGTCTTATTTGAGGGTATCCATTACAGTTTGTGCCCTCAGATGCTATCCCATTCCCTTCTGGGAAGTCTTTATCCACAGCACAAGAGTACCTCAGTGGGCAGATGATTTGTGTATTACAGACTTGAAATTGGTGATTTCAAGTCTCAAAAAATTTGGAAACTACAGTATCTTAAACCATTGCCCTGGGTTGTGTGGGAAGGTGCTGAAATTGTCACATTTCTATTGGTCCCACTCAGGTTATTGTAAAGTTAAATCAATGTGCCCACTGTTATGTGGAAAATAAAGCCTCTAGGTTAGATATTAGGATAACAGGAAAAGATTCTTCCCCTGAAGGGCGACTGGACACTGGAACAGGCTTCCTGGGGAAGCAGTCACAACACTGAGCCTGCCAGAGCTCAAGAAGTGTTTGGACAATGTCCTCAGGCACAAGGTGTGAGTCTTGGGATGTCCCCTGCAGGAACAGGAGCTACACTCAATGATTCTTGTGCATCCCTACCAACTCAGGATATTCTGTGTTTCTGTGATTCTTCTTCCACATGCACATTTCTGACATTCCTCTAACTCCACTACTTTTTGTCAAACAATTCTTAAGTTTATCCCTGGATGCATAAGAAGAAAGTGAAATCACAGACTGCAGTAGTGCATGTCCCACCTTGAAAGAGATGGCTTCTCCCTGGTCCTACTGTATGGCTGCTAAGGAGAGCTGACCTGGTCCTCATCACCCTGGGATTTATTCACTGTTCTTGGTGAGGTCAGTTTGCCTTCAAGTTTCCTGCAAGGTGAGGTGACTTGCTCATTACCTAATGGTGATGGTGCACCCACACTCTGTCCCATTATATGAAGTTAATACAAATGTATTAACTCCTTAATACAAATGTGTTAACTTGCCCTACAGGACTTGCAGAGACAAGAGATGACACCTTGTATAAGCAGGAATCTGGGATATCCTGGGGGAGAAAGGAATACTGAAGAAATAAATGCATTTGTAACTAGCAGTAGAGGTCAGTCTGCACTCACCTCACCTCACCTTACTTTGTAGGGAACTTGGGAGGCTTCATTATTTGACTTGGGAATTGCTCTGCAAACACAATAAAAAAGAGTCTTAGAATTTGTTTATAAAAATTAAGGGAATAACATGTTATTAGAATAATTGTACAAATTACTGTCATTGCAAAATTGCTTTTATGTACAAATATTCCAGTTGGGAATAATTACAGTCAGACTACATGTAGCTAATAAAAGAAAACCACACTCCCTTTTCCAGTCCGTCTTAGTTATGAATTTGTTGTGTGAATCATCTAACTAGAGCATTTCTATAAGAATAACCTCATTTGATGGAAGCTTTACTTTGAAGCAAAGAACCAATATTATTATTATAATAATATTGATAATAATTGCCAATGTATTCTTGTATTTTGAGTTTTTAAACATAGTGTTTCTGAAGGACTATGTGATTCTGCTGAGGTACTAAGCATTCTCTGAGGGACTATTGAAAGGTGTTTTGAGTACATGAAGCGTCTTGAATTGTTTTCCTCTCAAGGAATTTAAATTGTCTCTAAAGTGTTTCAGGGGAAATGAGAGACTGTAATGTATTTCATACTTAGTGCTGTCCTACAACAGATAAATGCCCTGGAGTGCAGCATTTGAGTTCTTTCTACGTGCTCAACTGTGTCTAGTAATTATCCTGAAATTATTTCATGTCTGAAGAGTTTACATTGGAGAGGATGTGGCTACTTGACACTGTTACTTTGCCAACTCCAGATTATAATAAAGCCTTTCCTCTAGAGTTAAAAATAACCACTTTTCAGCTGGCTTTTGCACAGAAGTCTCACTGGGGCAGGACAGCACATGCAGTAGAGCAGCACGCAGACCTTCTACCATGAGTCTCTTCAGGAAGCAGGAAGCTGTGGCCATCCCACATGTGCTAGGGCATTACACATTTGGTAAAGACCTGGACATCGCCTTGAGCAGGAAGGGGATTATGGAGCATGTAGACTAAAACCTGGGTCAGGACCACAGTATCCCTTGCAGGATTTCACAGACTTGTTGAAATGCTGGGGGAAGTGACCTCTGAATATCTCTAATCTAAATTCCACTTCCAAACAGGGCTGGAGCCTACACTGGACTGCATCAACCATGGCTCTGCCGCTGCTGTCTTGAAGACCTCCAAGGGTGGAGATGCCACAGCCTGTCTGGTAGCCTGTTCCAGTCCTCCGGTAAAGAAGTTTTGGTCGATCCTCAGTCTAATCTCCAAGTGACAGCTTGTGGACATTGCCTTGATTACTGCTGGTAATGAGAAGTGATTTTTCAGTGCCTTTGCATAGTGGGCTGCTATTAGGGCCTGTCTTGACCTCATCATCCTCATACCCAGCAAGCCTAATGCCTTCAAGCTCTCCTCACAGGAGAGGTGGTCTGTGCCCCGAGTGCTTCAGCAGTTCATCTGCTGGATCTGTCCAAATTCTCCACCTTGAGCAGGAGGCTCAAACAGGTGTAGCTCCACCAGCACCAAGGAGAAGGGGCGATAGTTTTCCTTGATCTCATGCATTATGAGGACTGGTTTGCCTCATTTGTGGCAAGGGGGAACTGTTGTTTTTGTACTTAATCTTTCAAGACAACACTTGGATCCTCCTCATTCGGGCTGCTCTGCAGTCAGCTGGTTCCCAGCCTGAACTGCTGCATGGGATTATTCCAGCATGGTGCAGAGCTTTGCATGGCTCTGCAAAACTCAGGCTTCTCATGGCCTCAAGTTTCCCAAGGTCCTGCTGATCAAAGCAGGGTGCTCAGTATGCCAACCACCCCACCCAGTTTGGTGGTGCCTGCAAATCTCCACAGGGAGTCTTCTGCCTCTTGTGCAGGCTCTTAGGACTCCCTTTCCACGAGTAGAGAGGACACAGCCTTGGTCTGTGGGATCTATGGACTAGACATCTTCTGGCATCCTTCTGCTTTCCCACACCCACCCTTGGCAAAGCTGGCTGAAGCAGTCAGCTCCTGCTGCAGCCTGGCTCCTGGCCTCTCCTCTCCCTGCAAGTGCTGACACCAGTGTTTGGGGCAGGGTGGCAGACCAGGCTGGTGGGCGGATGTGGGATACACTCAGCCATCACAGATATTTTTGGCCCAGCGACAATTTTTCAGCTATGAGGCAAAGCCTCCTCGGGCAGCAGAGCTGTGAACAGAGCTGGGCTGTTGTCAGCTCTGAGTGATGATGCTGCACCTCCTGCCACTGCTGCCCACAAAGCACCAGGCAGTGAGGGTCCCCTCTCTGCCACCCTGGTGTGTGAGGGTGTGATGGATTCAGCTGCTCCAGCCAGGTCAGGAGCACAGCACAGACGGTGACCTCAGGCAGAGAGACCATAACTAACCCCCAGCCAAGTTCTGGGCACAGCTGTTTGCAGAGTCAGTGTCTGCTGCTGGCCAAAAAGTACATGATTTTTTTTGTGTCTGCTGCTGGCCAAAAAGTACATGCCTTTTTTTTTTTTTCTGCTGTTCTTTTTTTTTTTTTTTTTTTTTTTTTTTTTGGTAAGTCATATGCTGCTTTCCTACTTGTGCTGCTGGCTCCGGAGGTTTCTCTTGCAGCAATGTAAACATAGCTACTGTGTGTCCCCACGATTGCAGCCTGTAGCTCACAATGAGACAGCCAATGCCAATAGATGTATAATGAGCATTTAAAAAGCACTTATTTTGTCATCCAATCATCCATCTTCCTCATTGTGTAAATTTTGTTTTTTTGTTTCCACAACAAAATGACTTTAAAAGAAACGTTCACCAGGAAGAAAGAAAATTTTGATTCTGGTGATAAAATCAGGACAGTCAAAATGATTAATATGACATTGGGGAGAGCTCGCAAATGTGGCTTAATTTCTGCGGCAAAAAGACGTCGTGGATACATCAGTGCTATGTTGTGCCTGGAAATTTAGTGGCAGCTGGAAATTTGATGGTGACCTCTGATAAGTAAGAAAATGGTGAGGGTTTTAATGAATGACTTGAATAAGAAAATAAGCCAGTCTGTGTGGTATTCTTCCTGATATTTGTTTTGCTATTAAGTTCAGTTAATGTGGTTCTCATTGTGTCAGGATGATTGTGTTGACAGCACATCACAACATGTGAGCATGGGGCAGTTTGACTGTCAGGGAAGGGGACACATTGCTCCACACTCACGAGGTGGAGCAGGGAGGTGACTTTAATAAGATGGATTTTGGAAGCCTTTGGCAGGAGACGTCAGAGATTGTAATGACAGAAAGAGTCCTGGTGAGCTCCTTTGCTCTCCGTGAAAAAAATTAATCTGTAATTATATCTAGAAAATAGGGATGGCGGGAGGTGGCTTTAACCACAAAGTTTGGGAAAGTTACACTCATGGTGGCTTGCATTCTCTGCAGTCTGTTCTTAGCCTCACTTCATTAACTTGCAGTGTTTATTCTGTGGCTCTTGTATCTTTGTTGTGAGGTTCAGGAGCATATTTTATGAAATGTTGATTTTCCATGTGAGTATTTATAGACTATGTTTGAGTCACCTGTTAATCTTCCTCTTGTAAAACCAGAATAAGCTCAGTGTTTCTGTCAGTATAATGCACACTTTCAAGACCTTGTTCATTCTCAGTTTTTCCAGTTCAGTGTCCTCCTTCTTGGCTATAACACCACAACTACATCCATGCTCCTGGTGGTAGCCACTGCCCAGAGCTTCTGTTCAGCAGAGAGCAATGGGAACCCATCTAGGCTGGTTTCCATCTGAAAAGTGGACCATTTTGTCAAAGGCAAAGCAATGGTGGTTTTTTTAAAATTTTTTTTTTTTTAATTTAAAGCAGTAAGAGCTGTGTAAAAGCTGTTCCTTTCTTCACTCATAATATTGCAGTTGATAAAACCTCAGGTTTGCAGTCCTTTCTGTTTTCTGGTGCCTTCAGTGCCTTCAGTTTTCCAGGGAAAGTTGAGCAAATTTAGCCAGTCATAGCCTAGTCACAATTCTTGGTTATCTTCAGAGGTCCATCAACATAAATCCCCCAAGGATGCCCAAGCCAAACCTGTGAGCTAAAATACACAGAAAGGCAACACAAAAGGCACATGCTGACTATTTTTCCTAAGAGCATATTAAGTGCTTGGGTGACCATCTCAGTAAGTTTCTGCAGCTCATTTCAGATCCCTGCAGTTCATCCAGATTCTATGGTCTGTGCATCAGGAGGGAGGTGGAGTAATCCCTGAATAACTGGCTGCTTTTGGGAGCTCTTGGGTACACTATAATGTTCACCCTCGATCCTTCAAGTTTATCTGGGGCTTTGTGAACACAGAATTGCTAAACTGATACAGAACATCCTGTTAGACTTTCAGAAGCAACTCAGATGTTTGTGATGGAAGTCAAAAAGGTATAGAGATGTTCAGTTTCTTTTCAGTGTTATGCAAGTGAAGTGTTTCACTCCTTTTACAGATCTGTAGCCGTCTCTACAGTGTTACAATGCTCAAATCCATGTAGACCTTTGGCTAATGGGAACATTGTTCTTCCAGAGCAGAAAGGTCACTTCCAGCAGAAATGACTGTATCTCAGTCACTTCACTCCAAATTCTGCTAGTTTGGTTCCAGGTGCTGAAAAGCTGATCAAAACCTCTTGACTCTCCCGTGAAGCAGATGAAAGATGTTTCCCACTCAGTGCTTAGCTAAAGGGATTGCAATGAACAAAGCAGCAGAATGAAGCTTTGGACTGAACTCACAGGCACACTACTTGGATTTCCAGGTACAAATATCCACAGGAAAAGACACTTGTTTTTTTAAATACCTTTTTTCAACACAAAAAGTATCCCAAGGTCCCTTCATAGCATTACCTCAAGTAGAAAAATCCATCAAACAAAATATTCAATCAATCCCTCTTAATCATATGATCAAAGTATTTTACCACGGCAAATTGAACAACATCTAAAATGAGAGATGAATAGCAATCAGCACAGAAAAGAAATTACTTTAATCTGGGAGGAAGTAGGAGAGTAAAGGGAAGTTTGGGTGACAAAGCTGTGGTGGAGAAGACTTCTTCACTGAGGAGTTAAGATAAGAGGAAGAGCAGATGCTGGGAGCCCCAGAGAGAGAGGTGTGAAGATGATTTGGCCTACGTGATGTGGTGGGTTCTGAAGGCTAGGAGAAGGTATTTGATGTTGTGGTACAAACTTCCACACTGGGGGAAGAACAGCAGTTAAACCATAAAATGGCTGAGATTTCTTTCAGGAGAGGCAGACAAGGAACAAAGAGGTATTTTTCTTCAACAGATTTGGCTTAGAAAGGAATGGGAAAGACAGGAATGTTTAAAAGACAGAGCTGCTGCCAGAGTCTCTGTAAAATTAATTAGTAAATTTCACTTTATTTTCTACACTCATCAACAGGCTAGAGAGGAAATGACTGGAATAATTTTAAAGTAATTTTCACTCCAACACATGTACTTTCTAGAAGGATAGTAAAGAAAATATATCATGCCAGACTTGATGGGATCCTTTGTTTCATACAGTGTGGCAATTTACTTTTACACTGGAGTTCATATTTCCCCAGTAGGTGCAGCAAACTACTTAAACTGTGGAAGGATATTTACTATTTAGAGAAGTCCTTGGACAGCTCTGCAAACTTTGCCTTGTTTCTCTGTCCAAGAGCTATATATAGTCTTTGCTTAATCAAGGTCTCAGATGTTGTGTGAGCACAGCTAAATATTTTCGAGAGTATAAAAAAGATAACTCCAGCCATTTTGCTTTGCCAGAGCCAGTGTTTGTCTAACTGTGTAGTAACCGAGGATACTGTAAATCAATTGCACATTGATTTGTGCAATTTCTTACTCTGAAATTAACAAGCAGATATAAACAATGTATCCAAAAAAACTTTTAGATTCATAAGATCTCTGTAAAACTGCTTAGTTACCTTTCAGGCTACCTTGTCCTTTATCTCAAGATATGAAACCCCAATGACCATCATTATATCGCATTTGACGCTACTGGGCTTGACCTAACTATGATCTAAAAATGCTGTGACAATAGCAATATTCTATAATCATGGCAGAAGAATAGAAAATTCGTCTGTCTGAAAAAACTCATCTGACGGCGAAATCTGGCAGTCAGTGCTGACAAGTACCCTGAGTAAATGCCTTTTTCTCAGCTGAAACTTGACCAGGAACCTCAGGGATAGGAAGCCCTCTCCTGAAAAACTGACTGGAAGATGTTTAATGTCTCAGAGTAGCTAAGGGTCTGTTTCAGTTTCTGCTGGTGGATAGACAGCATGAAATGCCCAAACAGGGAGTCCCTCTACCCTTCTGCTCCCTCCTGCCCAAACTATCAGACCCTAGAGGGACTGGCAGGACATGAAGGTGTCCTGAGGGCGTTAGGAAAATGACAGCTATGGGCAGCTGTGTGGGTGAGGAACTGCATCTGCAATTTGAAATGGAAAAGAAACAGATTTCTCTGTAGTGTGTGGGGGAGTTGAGATCGAAAGGACAGGAGGGTTTCAAATGGGCTAGGGGCGAGTTTAGTCTCTGACACTGCTCTCTTCTGCATCCACCTCCTCTGGCAAACTTTGCCTCTTGCTCTCACAGTTGGAAAACACCCCCTGACACAAAGGTCGCATTAACTTGAGGCACAGGGCAGGGTAAGAGCACGGAGCTAAAGCCATCACCTGTCGTTCACTTGAAGAAAAGAGGGACCTCCGAGGAACCAGAGCAAGGCTTCCACACTGGCGCAGGACGCAGCGGCCCAACAGCCGGGCGGCAGGCCCGGCCCAGCCGGGGATCGCCGGGGCCGCCCCGGGGTTCCGTGCCCGCCCCTCACGGCCCGCAGGTCCCCTCACGGCTCGCTCCGCGCCAGGCCCGTCCCTCCCGGCCAACCCGCGCCCGCCGGGGCTGAGCCATAAAAGCGCCGGGAGCCGGCGGGGCCGCGGCTCCAGTTGGCGGCAGCCGTGCCGGGCACCCGTGGGGTGGGCAGCGCGGCCGCCGCTCCGCAGCGCAGGGACCGCCGCCGGCCACCCCCAAGATGCTGTTTTGGCACACGCAGCCGGAGCATTACAACCAGCACTCGACCGGCAGCTACCTGCGGTGAGTCCCGGCAGCGGCAGCCTGGATGTTCGCTCGGGTGCCCCTGAGCCGCGCCCGCCCGCCGGCTTCCCTCCCGGTGCCCCGCCGCGCCGCTCCCTCTGCCTGAGGGCATTTTACTTTTTTGCTTTCTCTTTTTCCTTCTTATTTTTTTTTTTAGTTTATTTTTATTTTTTTAGCGCCTGGTTAGGCGGCTCTCTGCAGCGTTGCTTTCTTGCCTGTGCGGGTTCGCGCTGCTCCGGGCTGGGGCAGCGCAGCTCCGGGAGGAGGTGCGGCGGAGCGCTGTCAGGGGAAAGCGCCGGCTGGCAGACTGAGGGGGCACCCCGCTTTCCGGGGACGGGATTTCTTTCTCTGCGTTTTAGGGCGATGTGTGAAAAGCGCAGAATTTCACTTTCTGAACTTGTCTAAACCAGCTTTTTCCTGCCTCCGCACAGTTGCGTTCAATTAAATGTGCCTAATTTAAGTACAAGGGCTGCTAAACAATAGTCTGTGACATGTGTAGCACAAACCCGTGTTTCCTCCCTCCAAACGATGTCAAAGCAGGCAACTTTGGGAGTTCCCTTTTTGGGTGCTTGTGAATTATTTGTTTTCTGAAGATGTAAAGCTCCGCCGTCGGCTGGTGGCGATTGCTGGAGTGGGATTTTGCTGAATTGTGGCAGTGGAGAACCTGGCTGTGGCCCAAGAACCCTGACTTTCGAATGTACCCCCAAATAACCACTCTTGAGAGGACATTGAGTTTGTCTGGGGAAGCACTTCGAATGCAGATAATGCTTCTCTTTCAAGGAGACACGCTATCTTGACTATTCCTGCTGCCTGTCAGAATACTTGCAAAGGAATTTTTTTTGGACTAAATAATAATCTCCCATTATCAAATGATACAATATTGGGAGATTCTTGCCTTCTGGCAGCTTTTCCGTTTCTTCATACAAGATTCTTCATCTCCTCCCTCTGTGTCAATAACTCAGTTTCACAACATCAATGTGGCAAAAATCTTGTTCTCTCTTGCTTTGCACTTGCAAATCTGATTAGTTTAGGACAGTGAAAATGGTACTAGCGGAGGAGCATCAGCATGTTTTCTATTAGAGAGTGTTTAGGGTGGTCAGGCTGCTGCATTAACTCCATGGATTTGTAGCAGGAATGCTGGAAGATCATCAGGTCTGGGTCAGGCTTTACTCCACAATATAAATTCTGTTTCATGGGCCAGAAAACTTATTAGCTTATTTTTGCTGGCTTGATGCTAGCTGGGGGATAAAGGATATCTGTTCTGTCAGGAAGGCTGCTGGTATGGAGGTGACCTGTTGGTATTTTAGGAACAAACTTCAGCTTTAGTGAGTACCTGTCTCTGTTAAGTGGTAGATTTGATCTGGGATTAAAATCCTTATAGCCGCTTTTATGGCAACTATGCCCTCAGGTGTTTCAGGGGAGGTTGGTTGAACAAAACCCTTGGTTTTTTATGTAGAGATGGCTGATTCTGGCCAATTCACTTTCCATGAGAACGTGTCAAGACATGCATTTCTAACAGGGGCGTTTTTCTTCGAGCAATGCCTTTCTGAAGGCTTTCCATACCCCCTTGTAGTGACTACAAGAAGCTGAAGTAGTACAATATTTAAAGTTGCTGTAAGAAAAGTTTGTGTAAGTTATATTTGCAGAGATCAAGAGCTTTCTGTATATTTGAGACATCCGTGTAAGTTCTGCTGTACTTCAGTGGTATTTGTAGCTGGAACAAGATGATGCTACAGAAAAATTCTTGTAAATTTTCATTCATTTCTTATGAAAACGCAGTACGTGTTTTACCCTCTGATCTGTCAGCTGACTGAACTCTCAATTAACTTTCTCTCCTTCCAGGGATGCACACTAATTGTTATTTAAGTCCAGAACTGTAAATCTTTAGCATAACAGTGAAAATTGGGGGAGTTTTAAGGAGTTCAACCTATTTTTTTTAAGGATAGGAACTGTTGTAAAAGCCTGTTTTCCCCTAAACTTGATTTGCAGCTCTTGAGTGAAGAGTTGAATAAGTGTTGTGGTGGCTTATATATTTGTAATTTAAAAAAATCTTTTGACCTCATTCTAAGTTCGAAACACTTATAATAAGGTCAAACGCTTAAGAAGGTCTTGACCCAAAGCAGTTAGACCACAGGCCATTAGTTTAAATGCTCTAGGAATAAAAATGTGATTAACTTATGTGGCTGTGTTAGAGCTTTAATGTGGTGAAGCTTTCCAGAAACCGAGTCATGGATTCCTCCATGCTTGCAGAATTCAGTGATCAGACAGCTGTGCTGGCAGGTGTAGGGGTGCAAAGAACCTGATGTGAAATACGGCATTTAAATTTTGACTTACCCTTGCCTAAATTTCTCAACTGTTTCAGGCGAGTACATGTACAAATTCCTCCCCCTGACTGTTAAACCCGGCCAGATTTGTGCCCTGTTTCTGCCGAGCTGCAGAAGTTCTCGGGCGCTGGAGTTTTTGACCTGTTCTCATCTGTAAAACCACAGGCATTCAGGGAGCATTGTGCAGAGCGGGTTAGGAGCAAATGTTGGCATCCTTAGGAGCAAGTGTTGGCGTCCGGGCTGAGTGAGATGACTCCGGAGCAGTATCAGATCCTGCATGTGTGTGGAGCAATGCTATCTATTTCAGAAATCTACTGCAGGCATTTCTGTCACTTCATTGCTGCAGTAAATCATCACTAAGAAAAAAAAGAAAAAACAAGCTCTTTGTGGCAGCAGTTAGGCAAGAGCTGTGATTATGTCAGTAATGCCAGGAAGCAAATGGGGCTGGATGCCTTCGAGTGGCTGATAATACTGGGGGCGTGGGGTTGGAAGAGAGAATGGAAACAGAGATGGGTGTTTCTTTTCTTCTCTCTGCATCTGAAATGGCACGATTTGCTCTCTGGCATTGTTTTCTATTAAACAGGAGTACCTGTGTTTGAGCCAGGCACTTGAGCAGTTTACTCTAAACTGCTGCACTGTTTCACTGATGACCTGGGTAGCCTTCAAGGTTGTGAGTGTTAACAGTGGATCATTAACTGAACAGGCAAGGAAAAAATTCTTAATGCCCTTTCAGGTTGCATGCCTGTACATGCTGGATGGTTTTTCTTAGAGCGTTTTGTGTATGGGGTTGTCAAAGGGAGAAGAACTACAGCCTGTGTAAAAATCCTGAGTCTTCACACATCTGGAAGAAATAGAGGAGAAAAAGAATCGCTTGTTCTGAATTGTCACCGTGTTCAGTATAATCCTCCTAATTTGGAAGGGTATTAATGTTTTAAGTAGGTGGACTCAATGGCTAATATGGTTCTTCAGTGTCAGACTGAGATAAGGATGCTTTTCCTGGCGTCTCATTTTGTACTAATATTTTAAGTAGGTGGACTCAATGGCTAATATGGTTCTTCAGTGTCAGACAGGCTGAGATAAGGATGCTTTTCCTGACGTCTCATTTTGTACTAATCAACTCATCATTTGTTGAGCTCTCAGCCTTGCTAATACCAGTTCTGCTTGGGGATTAGTGTGGGCTGGGATCAGCCTGGGACTAGATCAGCAGTCAGGTCACTATCAGCATTTGGTAAAGAAGTGGGAGCTGGGGCTGTGTGCAGGTCCTAGTGGAGCTGCTCCCATGCACCTGTGTATGCATTTATGAAGGTAGCCCAGTGCTGACTTAAGGGCTGTGTGATTCCTTGGGACCAGGTTTGCTAGAATGCAGGGAGAGATAATGAATAAATTAATCCAGCCGTTCATGCCATCATTTACCTGAATATCTCCTTTGTACGCCAGACCTGTGTCTGCTTCTCACCCATGGCTGCTCCTTGAAGACATTTCTCTGATCTGACATTTGGCTGTCAAAGTGCCCTTTCATGCCTTTTATTTATTTATTTTTTTTGTGTGTGTGTGTTGGGGGCTTTTTTATGTTTTTGTTTGTTTGCTTGTTTTTCTTGTTTTGGGGTTTTTTTTTTTTTTTTTTTTTTTGTTTTTTTTTTTTTTTTTGGGTTTTTTTTTTTTTTTTTTTTTTTGTTTTTTTTTTTTTTTTTGGGTTTTTTTTTTCTTTTTTTTTTTTTCTGGAAGGCTTTCATCTGAGAACATGAGAACTTAATCTAATATGTCCACAAGGATGAAGGATCTATTTTTGATTTTTTTTTTCTCATCAAGAAGACTGCTTAACTGAAAAGTGAATCTGATTTATTGGTTAAAAACTTGCATTACTTCTCAGACATACTCTGTTTTGGCAGTGCTATGTTTTGTGTGAGTGCTGATATCCTAGATGCAGAAGTTGCCTGGTTACGTTAAACAGGCCAAATACTTCCTCTTTTAGCCATTTTAACCTGGTGTTTCTCTAGAGACCACCCCTGTTATCTCAGATCATGAGCCCCAGCTGCAGATTGAGGCTGGACTAGTCCATAAACTCTTTCTGACTGTGTCTAACTTGTGCGTTGCAGAGATGTCCTTGCGCTGCCGATCTTCAAGCAGGAAGAGCCGCAGCTGTCTCCTGAGAACGATGCCAAACTGCCACCCTTTCAGTACGTCCTCTGCACAGCCACCTCCCCCGCCGTGAAACTGCACGAGGAAACTCTGACCTACCTCAACCAAGGTAGGGTCTGCAGTACACTGAAGGAGAGGATGTTTCTTGGGAACAGTTCGTGAGATTTGATCCCACACTTTGCCTTAGCAGGAGGGCAGCGGGATGGGAAGAGAGGGATGGAAGTGGGGAGGGGGGTGGAGGAAAGGAGAAATATTTAATTTTCCACATTTACATACCAGATTATCAA